TAGCTGCAGTCGCCGGATGCACTTCAAGGGCAACCCCATGTAGAGCCCATTGCAGTATTCCAGTCTAGAGATCACATTATTATACCAATTACCATTTGATGCCATAGCACCCAGCATTCAAAGACCTTTAAATCTCATGCCTCAGTACATTCTCAAAGAAACAATATAGAAACCTAATTCACATACCATGCTAAATCATATTTTTGTTTCCCTGAGGAAGTGTGTAAATATTAGAACATACATCTTAGCATAACTGTGAGTTCAGCCCATGTATCACATATCACACTATATGACAGTTTGTTCACTAAGCCAGAATTTGTTAGGTTTCTTCATTGCACTAAACCATAAATATGATTTTATTAGCTAGAAAAGTTGGTTCATGTGAAATGCAAAGAGCCAAAGTGCAATGTGCAAATCCAGTCAATAAATATCTTCTCTGATGACTCATCTATAGGCGTGTGTTTATGAAGATAATATATTATCTAGAAATCTGTGTGAATTAATGGATTATTTTAACTATTAACCTTATTCAGCAGTGGCAAACACTAGCTGTTAGAGACATGAATACCTCATAGCACAAATTTGTTTTGTAGACAAGACCAAATTTCATAAGATATGCAACATTAGCATAATTGGATAGGAAAAATGTACAGTACAGGAGAAGGAACATAAAGAACAATAAAAATACCTTAAAACATTTGTTATATAAGTGTTGGAATCAATCAACTGACAATCCAATTAACCCAGATCATACCTATAAAATGTCTGCTGTAGCAATCTTGCCAAAATTCAAAAATGTCCAATTTATAACAGAACAGCCTAACGTAAGGCAGCTTTCTAACATGGGTCAGTTCTTAAACTTTTAGCTGTAGCTAAAGAATCAAAGAGGCTAGAGTTTAAAGGAAAGGAGGGGGGAAGCAAATGATCATCTCAGCAGAAATCTCTCCCCCAGCTCTTTGCAGAAGCCCCTGGAGTGCTGTTCTTAAAGTGTTTAACACAATTATAGGTAGTCCTGGACTTACGACCACAAAATTTCTGTTTTGAAGCATGACTGTTAAGTGAGTTTTGCCCCATTTTAGGAACTGTCTTGTCATAGTTGTGAATTACTACAGTTAAGTTAGTAAAACAGCTGTTAAGTGAACAGGCTTCCCCATTGATTTTGCTTGTCAGAAGGCCACAGAAGGTGATCACATGACTCTGGGACACTACAACTGTCATAAATCCATGCCAGTTGCCAAGCAGTCAAATTCTGACCATGTGATCATGCAGATGCTGCAATTGGTGAAAAATAGTTGTAAGACTATTTTTTCAGTGCTGTGTAAATTCAAAATGGCTGTAAGTCCAGAACTACCTGTATTCCTTTTCCTGGTCTTCAATAATGTTGTTAACCTATCCACTCACACATACACAAAGATTTTGTTGTTTTATACAAGTGTCACAACTGCAGCAGCCCCAAACTGGATCCTCTACACCCCAAACAGCAATGACAAAAGATATTTATCCAATTTTTAAAACCACCCATCCTCCTCACAGAGGCTCTATTACTCACAGAATATGCTCTAGACTAGAGCAAATATCCCAGGTCTTGTTTGGCTGTTTTAAAGTAACTTTTGCTTACAAATGTTTATACTGCTTGCTTCCAAAACTTTATGGGAAAGTGGGAAGGTTCTTTATAATAAAGTTCAGAATGTAATTAACTTTGATAATAATGCCAGGAGGAAAAGCGGTGGTGAGGGAGAAGAAAAATACTGGAAGCGGTGGCCAGGCCTGTTTCATTTTTTAATTTTCAATTGTTTAAATTCATTTTATATTTTCTGTGCCACCCAGTCTAACAGAGAGGTCAGCTGCATTATATTTAATGCATTGTTTTAATGAGTATATTTGGTAAGCCTCTCAAGAGTCCGTTGGAATGGGAGGCTGCATTAGTAAAACTATTAGTATTGCCTCAGTCAAGAGAAAAACCAGTCACAATAGCCTTCCATCCTTCCGAGGTGGGTAAAATGAGGACCGAGATTGTTGGGGGCAATAAGGCTGTAAACCTCTTTGAGAGGGCTGTAAAGTACCGTGAAGTGGTATATAAATCTAAGTGCTATTGTTCTCCTTTCCTCCCTCTATCCTTTCCTTCCTTCCTTCTTCCTTCCTCTGCCTTCCATCCTTCCGAGTAAAATGAGGACCCAGATTGTTGGGGGCAACATGCAGACTCTGTTAACCGCTTAGAGAAGGCTATAAAAGCCTTGTGAAGCGGTATATAAGTGTATTTGCTATTCCATCCATCCACCATAACATGCAGTGGTTAGAAGGCAGTATTGCAGGCTAATTCTGCTCAGTCAGGAGTTTAAATCTGACCAGGCTCAAGCTTGACTTAGCCTTCCATCCTTCCAAGGTTGGTAAAATAAGGATCCAGATTGTTGGGGGCAAGAGGCTGACTCTGTAAACCGCTTAGAGAGTCCTGCAAAGCACTGTGAAGCGGTATATAAGTCTAACTGCTATTGCTCCCCCCCTTCTGCTGCTGGGGATGATGGGAGCTGTAATCCAGCGCTCCCGAAGGGTGCCGGGGCGAGCCCCAGGCCACTCGACGCCGAGCAGCGGATCTTCGTGCGACGCCAGGCACCCTTCCCATCTCCCCTCAGCGGCTCCCCGCATCTCCCCAGGGGGAGGCGCGGCAGGGATGCCTCCCACCCGGAGTGCCAAGGAACGGGAGGGGGTGAGAGAGAGCTCTGCCGGCAGGCAGGCAGGCAGACCGTCCGGGGAACGGCGACCGCGCGGCCCCGCTGCCCCGAAAACGGCCCCGGATACCTGCGAGTCGCGGAATTCCACCACCACATTCTCGCTACTCCAGCGCGCGGCCATCTTGGCTGCCCTGGAGGCGGCGGCGCGACGGCGACCAGGAAGTCGTCGCGCACGGAGCGCAGGGCCTGCCGGGAGGCGTAGTTCTGGCCGCTTAAAGAAGCCGGAGTTGCTCAAGAGCCAGACCTGTGTCTTCCCTCAGGGTTGGACTACAACTCCCAGAGTCTCCCCTCGCCTAGCTAGGAACCCTGGGAGTCGTGGTCCGACGTCGATTTGTTTTGATCTTTCTTAAGGCAGCCTGCCTCCCACTTGCTCTCTCTTTTTTTTCCTTGCATACCTTTGTCATTGGATTTGCACAACAGGCTGAGACACACACACACCACACACACATATGCAATCCCTCTCTTGTAAATTGAAAGCAAGCTTATCCTGCTTATTGAGCGCAGACACTGTATCTTTGCCTCAGTTATGCAACTTTCTGTGAACATATTCAATGTCTGAGGGATGTGGAGGGTTAGAAGACTGCAAAGTGGCTGTTTTGTTAATCCATATCATTAATTAGTATATGTATATTTACTAATGTGTGTTTAAATTATAGGGGCTGGACAACCATTTATCTGAAATGGTATAGGGCAGGGTGTCCAAACTTGGGAACTTTAAGACTTGTGGACTTCAACTCCCAGAATTCCCCAGCCTTTCCAACCCTTATTATTCTATGTAGACAGATTCCAAACAATCAATCAATCCAAAATAGACATTGGAGCCAAAGAGTCACCTGGATCTCCTTTAATTTACAGAAGTGGATCTGAATTAAGCTACACTAACTGTGTTGTTTCCATCTCTGGAAGGAACTTATCCACGCCACTGCTATGTTTTTGCACAATTCTTCTGAATGTGTTTCCTAATGATGATAATGCATGATCTCTACTCATGCAAATAGGCTGGGAAGGGATCTGTCAACCCTCTATTCAAAGTTTAGGAGAATAGGGATTTTAGCCAATCTTTACCTAGGTGAGATATTAATCTTTCCATTCCTGATTAGAGCACAATATAACTATGGCTGAAAGTTCACAACTGCCACTTCAATTACATCATGCAAGTTAATTGCACAAAAGATGAGGGGTGCTATAAATGACATGTCACCAGGAGCTTCATTCCAAACAAATATCCCTGGACCTACTCCTAAATAAAATCAAGTTCTTACAAGTTGGGACAAAACTCTCCTTGCTGCCTACTGACCATCCCAAGAAATTCCTGGGGTTTGTACCATCAGATTTCAAAAGCTCTTATGTCTGGAATTGTCTTGAGAGCACAAGTAAAATGGACAGAAGTATATTCTCTTCTCGGCTGACAACACTCAAGATTTCATAACCCCTTACCTGAAATTGGTGTGAAGGTTTGTGCGGCCCCGCTGTAAAATAATTGGTTGAAAACTGGTTCTGTTCTACCTTTTATATTGTCCCTTTTTGTCTTTTACAGTCTCAGAACTCCCTGTTTTTGTTGAAAACGGACTTGGCAGCAAACCCTCAGAATGTGAAAATATGATTTATCTTGATAGCGTTGTTGTTTTTTAAATTTGCAAAGGAATTAGATTGGGTGAATGAACTTATACTAGCCTGGTGCAAAATGTAGGAAAGAATGGAACCTAGAATAAGGTTCTCTTATTTCAAAAGTAGGGAGTGATGGCCACCTGTCCAGAAGATGCAGAACACCAAACAGAATGCAAAGTATCTGGAGCAAAGTCAGGATTTATTATGCACAAATGTTTCCAATTCTTGGGAAAAGGAAGACACCCCTTTAGGTGTCATTCATCAACAGGCAATTTTAGTATATAAAATAATAAAATGCTAATCTATTGTATTTGTGTGCGTGTTAAACACAAACAAGAAAAATATGTTAACATATTCAATCAAGAGACTTAAAAGTTTCAATGAGAATAGAGCTGGAAAGGATCTTGGAGGTCTTCTAGTCCAACCCCCTGCTCAAGCAGGAGACCCTACACCATTCCAGACAAGTGGCTGTCGAGTTTTAAGATGGGATTTTAATGCAACTGGTGAAAGAAAAACAAACGAGCCAATTTGTATTTTGTGCCAAGTCTAAATTTGTTAATCATGGTTTATTAAACTACAAATGGCAAATCATTGTAAGCTTTATAATATCATGGTTTATATAAGCTATCCTGATGGAATTGATAAATCAAGGCACAAAGCAGAATACCTGACTGTGGGCGACACTTATAATTATGGTTTGTCCTTTTTCCAAAAATGCATCTCCTGAGGTTGTTGTAAAGATAAAATCAAGTGTGAGATGAAGAAATATTGACCTTTGCAGCAGAACATAAACGTGCTGAAGACATGCATGTCATGTAACTGTAACTGTTTTCAAGGTTATTGGATACATCTTTGATCCAAAACTAAGTTTTTCACTATGTTCTATTAAGGCTTCATTTGATGCATCCTGTGATGGAGGTAAGCCCTAAATCGTTGCTAAGTGAAACATTTGAGCCAATTAAGTAAGTGCCGAAAAATGTTCACGAGTCACCTTTTTTTCAGTGCGGTTGTAACTTTGAACGGTCCCTAAATGAACTGTTGTAAATTGAGGACTCCCGGTGCTTAATCCAGGTTTTCAAACTTGGCGACTTTAAGACTTGTGGACTTCAACTCCCAGAATTCTCCAGCCAGCTCTGCTGATTGGAGAATTCTGGGAGTTGAATTCTACAAGTCTTAAAGTGGCCAAGTTTGCTGACTTATGTGTCAATCCATCAACCCAGCCCCAAACAGACCCCAGACCCCACTCCCACAAGGCATGATTGCGCAATTCCTGCCGCCACCAGGCAAACTAGGATCCAGCCCAGCCCTTGGAAAGCTATGCGGGGCTCTGCTTCTCGGCGCGAGGGGGGAATCTAAGGCTGCAGAAAGTTCATCAAACGCCTCGGCTACTTCGGAGGCGTTAACGGCAAAAGGCCGGAGAGACCGTCGGTTAAAGCCGTTCCAAGGCTGGCTCCCGCCGGGCCGGGACTTCGGAGTCTCGTCGCGGGGCAGGAGGGGAGCCAGGCGCGCCCTCCCTCCGTCCGCTCAGCATCCCGCGGCGGCGGCGGCGGGAGGAGGGGAGGGGAGGCGGAGAGGAGGAGACGGGGAAGCCGCGGCGCAGGCGCTGTGCGCGGCTCTATTGTCTCGGCTCCGGGAGCCCTCGGGAAGCCCGGCTGGGGACGGCCGGGGACGCACCAGCACCAGCCCGACGCCCTTTACAGCCCTCGCGGCCCCAACGGAGCCAGACTCCCGCGGTGGGACTGCTGCTTGGCCCGGTTTGCCCGCCCGGTCTTCGTATGCGGAGCGGCGCTTGGGCAGCCGCGCTCTCTTTCCGCCGCCGCCGCCTTCCGTAGGGCGGGACCCCCAGCTGACCCCGCCGTGGATGAGCCCGGGAGGCGCGGCGGGCCGCCCGTTGGGGCGCGGCGGCGGCGGCGGCTGCTGCCGCTGCTGCACGGAGAGGCGGAGACGGGGAGCGCGGCCGCCAGTGGGGCTGGCCGCCGTTGCACGATGCCGGGGGGCCTGAGCGCCTAGTGGCCCTCCCTGGCTGGCTGGCGGGCATGGGGGGCAAGCAGAGCACGGCGGGCGCCACGGCGGCGGGGCGCTCGCGCGGAGGCGGCGGCGGCGGCGGAGGCCCCGTGGCCAGCGACGACAGCGCGGTGCCGCCGCCCGGGGGAGCCCCGCACTTCGGGCACTACCGCGGCGGAGGCAGCGGCGGCGGAGGAGGCGGCAGCAGCAGCGGAGGAAGCGGCGGCGGGAGCTCGGCGATGGGGCTGCGCAGCCGTTCCGTCAGCTCCGTGGCCGGCGTGGGCGTGGGGATGGGCGGCGTGGAGCCGGCTGGCGCCGGCAGCGTCCCCTTCGGCCTGTACGCGGCGGCGGCAGCGGCCGGCACCGGCACGACCACCCCGGCCACCCCCACGGCGGCGGCTTCCTCGGGCGACTCGGAGCGGGATGCAGGCGGCGGGTCGGGCGCGGACTCCGCCCCCTACGGCCATGGCAACGGTTACCAGGAGACGGGAGGCGGTCACCACAGAGACGGGATGCTGTACCTGGGCTCCAGGGCCTCGCTGGCCGATGCTCTACCTCTCCACCTCGGACCCCGGTGGTTCAGTTCGCACAGCGGTGAGTGGACGGGTTTGGGGAGCCCAAGGGGGCTCTGGGGATGGGGCTCCTGGGGGCTAAAGGTCAGCCATGGTGCTGGGTTCGAATCAGGAGCCAAAGGCCCAGAAGATGGGGAACAAACAGCCTTTGCAATCTCAGAAGGCTAAAGTGTGTAAAATTGCTGGTCAAGGAAGTGTCCTGCTGGGGTTAAAAGGTCCTGGCTGCTTCCTTCACACATCCTTTACACATGTGCCCTTCACACGTGTGCCCCCTCTTAATCTGGGTCAGGCTTCTTGTGTGTGCATGATAAAGTTGGGTTAAGCCAACCTCTTCGGTGTTCAGGACATTTGGGCATGTCCAGAAAATGGGTAAATACAGTAACCAATTACAGTTTGTTAAACCAACAAAGTTATGTGTTGTGAGAGGCCCTTCTGGTATTAAGAGATTTTGTTATAAAATCCATGTGCTGGGAACTAGATCCTTCATTGATCTTCTCTTTCCTACTTAACAAGTCAGTGAGTGCTTACTCTAGAAAGCATCCTGAGCTCTGGATTTGGACTAAGCCTGGCACAACTTTGCCCTTCATAAACGGCCTGGGTAGCGTTTTTGCCTTATTTGATTTCTGTGGTACATGAAACCTGGGATCTTGTGCCACCCTTCAGAGAATATTGTGCTCTTGAAGTGACATTCTGGCTTGGTTTGAACGAGAGGTCAGGCTAAAACGTGGCAGTGGGATGTTATGCTGTGTGTATCTAGATAAGTATGATATGTGAATGAAGGCAGTTGGAGTAAAGTCCACCTAAAATATTAGCCAAATAGCTTCCTTGTCTTCCCAGCAGAGGTTAGCTGGGGAAAGAGTAACAAGGGGGTAAGAATGGAGGGTGGACAAAAAATTTGCCAGCCACTTGTGAATACCTGGAGTAATTTGATAGTTAGTTCATGGCCTGGAGCCTCCTAGGACTTATTTTCTTTGCTTAATTTTGCTTTAGTTGTTGATTTTACATCAAGGGTAGGCAATTCATTTTCCCAGATGGCCGCATCAGAAATTGGGACTGTTGTGGAATGCCAAACAAATAAGGCTGTGAAGGTACATAGCAAACACATAGATAAATGGGGGGGGGGGGGAAAGTTACCTTCAAAATAACAGCAATCCATGTGTCCCAAAGGTGCTTTTTCAGGAGGCAACTGAATTTTCTTGTGTGTATTTTAAGAGGTTTCGCTTCTCATCCAAGAAACTTCTTCAGCTCTGAGAGGACCTGCCAGAGCTGAAGAGGCTTCTTGGATGAGAAGCGAAACGTCTTCAAAAGTAAAAACAAGAAAATCCAGTTGCCTCCTGAAAAAGCACCTTTGGGACAACCGTGGCCTGGATGGCTGAGAATCTCTACATATTTTTTAGCAATTCATGTGGGCTGGACAGAGACAGCCAAAAGTCTGGATGTGGCCCAGAGGCTGTAAAATGCAGAGGTCTGGTTTAGATGCATCTAAAAGCATCAATATATAGCTCTCCTACCACCATGTTGCTTCTCTTTTTCCTTTTAGTACAGGGGTGAGAAAGCAGGTCGATTCTCAAGATTTCTGTACTGTAGTCTCCTCTGTATTCTTATCATTGGCAAAAACCACAATAGAACAGCTTTTGAAGATACTACACCCTCACTTCTGTTGTTATTAAAACCGGAAAGATAACACGAAAATATCTTTCCCATTACTCTGTAACTTGGGGGTGGATAAAAACTCTTGTCATTCTCTCCGATTTGGTCTCCTTCCAGACAGAAGGAGACCTCCTTCACCTCTCAGAATTCTCATTGGTGGCCCTACAATGGAATTCTAGGAGTTGAAGACCAGATATCTTACAATTGCCCACACGGTTGAGAAAGACTGAATTGAGTTGGTAATCAAAGAATGTAGAATTAGGTAAGATTGGCTCTCCTAGATCCCATGGAAAGCATTATGAGTTTTAGGGAGTTTTTTTTTCTGCTGAGAGAATGAAAAGGGTTAATAATGTGGAACATCACATTGGCTTACAGGAAGTATACTTGTTTCTGAGAAAAAAAGTATGGAGGGATTTCCCCAGCAAACTCATTAGGAGGAAGTTAACAGAAAAAAAAATGATTTCAGGCAGAGAATGGGACAAGCTTTTTAGTTTAGGCCTCTAGCAGTCAGTTCCTGAAATTGACTTTGGGGATGCCCCCAGGAGCATGCCTGGAAATGCTGCCAAGAATTTCCATTGGTTGGGTTGCAGGGAGAAAGTATGCTTAAATTAAGTAGTATCACCAAGCAAAGCAATTTATAATTTAGTTTTGGCAGGAAATAGAGGAAATAATGTTCTTTTTGCCAGCCAATTGTGCTTCCTTTATCTGTCCAATAGTTGCTTAATTGATTAACTTTTCAATTACACTGGATTATATCAGCAAATGTGAGATACCGTACATCATTTTCCCTCAAACTTATTTCCTGCTCTGTTCAGTTGAACTATGAAGGTTCTGTTTTGCTTTCAGTTCTGCATCTTACAAGAATTGCATTGGCTGCCCCAAGTTAGAGATGTGAAATTGCTCTGCCATTGAATTGTTTGTACTCCTTGGTAGGGATTTCTGTATTTTGGTTTTGCTCAGCTTTCCTTTTTATTTAGATAGAGTAGACATCTTGTGTGCATATTTTGTGTGTGTACTGTGTTCATGTGTATGAATGTACCGTGTAACATGTGGATAGGGTATTCCATGCCAGTTATATTCAAATTAGCTTTGAAGATTCAGTGCATTAAAGTGAGCTATCACATCAAACTAATGCAGACCACTAGATATAAAAGTCTTCTGCACAGATGCAAAATCTTTTTTGCCCAATTCACTAGGACTTCCATCTTAACCCAAGTCATAAGTCTACACCGACAGACCAATCTGGATGTTTACATTTTTAATGGTTCTAAATTCAGTTGATGATTGCATTTTCAAATCAATTTTGTAAAATGTTTTTGGATGGATTTGTACAAATAAATCCAGTTAAGCAATTCTTCAAGTCAGTTTTACCTACCACGCTGAAGAGCTGTTTTGTCTTCTGGAATTTTGAATTTTGTTCCAGCTGCTTCTCCTGCCCAGTTTGTGTCTCACTTACTCCCACCTATATAGGAGCTGCACTGCTACCATAACTTTGACTCTGAATGATGCACCGCTTCAATATTGATTGATGCCTTTTGAGGCTCACGTTCTTCAAACTAACCTCCAATGGTAAATCCCTGTTTGGTTTGCAAAATGATTGGTTACTGATGTGGTGCCTTCGTCCCTTGACACTGTGATGGTGACTCTGGTAGTACTAATTAAAAATCCATGTCTTCGGTGTCCAGATAATTAGGTTAATCATGCAATTAATACATTCCATCAGCCTCCATGTCTCTGAACAGCTGGAGGTTTGCCTGCTTGGCACACACTCCCGGTGTTGCAACCCTCTAGAATGTCCTCTTTGGGAGAGGACTTATTTTTCTTCAAGGGAACGTGAAAGGGGGCCGTGAAGGTCATGGCACAAGTGATCAGAACTCCTTGATAATAATGCTTGTCTAGCGCTCTGGCACACAGGCCAGAGTCTGTAGGTTTGTAAAGAATAAGACAGTGAAAAAAGGCTTCACTTTGCAATTAAACAGCAAGCAAAATTTGTATATGGCCTTTGGCCAGGTTAGCCTCCATGAATCTGGTTATGAGCTCCCTGGATGTTGGTTTGCTAAATTCATTCCTTCTCTGGAAGCTGAGATGAGACCCTCCTGACCAGGCTGATTTTAAGACAGAGTCAAAAAAGTCAAGATCACAACTCCATTGTTTGGCTCCTGCTCCTCTGCTCCTGGGCTTGGCTTGGCTTGAATACTTTTAAAGCCCAGGTTTGGACAAAAAGGGCTCCACATATTTACTTGCTCAGATATTTGTTTCCCTTCTTTTTAGCTTCTTAAGGAGCTACAAGGTTGGTGGTATGGCGATCAGCTCGAGAACGCACTCCGTTCTTGCCAATAAAAGTAGCCTGCAAATTCATATCTAGCAGCCTACGCATACCTAATCTTAGTCCTTTGGAGCCAGAGGGAGAGAAAACCCAAATTCTGCTAAGCTTCCACTGAAATCTCTTACTCACTTGAACTCTGGCAGATTGCTATTTATAAGCCTGGCCAAAGTGTCTCCCAAAGGTTTGGTGTTATTACTAAAGGCGGAAGTTGAGACAGGTGTGAATCCAGCCTGTTTTTAGTGAGGTTGGCTGTGCAGAAGCTCCCGGCTGCTCTTGTCTTCTTGGTCTGGTCGCAACCTTTGGGGTTGGAGAAGACCACTTCTCACATTATTTATTTGTTGAGTTTATTGGCTGCCATGGAGCTACTCCAGGGAGCTTACAATAATAAAAAGGAAGAAAATGTAAGGGTCGTAAACAGAACCGATGTAAAATAATAGAGTAATAAAATAAACAATGACAAAGGAAGACAATGAGAATAATACAATGGTATGATAACCAAAGATGGACCAATGGAGAGCAGAGTGCAAAGGGGAGGGGGAGTCTGCCATCAATCTAGCAGCCACCTCTAGTAGGTAACTCCCCCATTTGGTCCCCAGACCACCAGTAAAGCCTGGTTTTCAGGTTCAGGTGGACACGAGGGGTCTCTGTCCTCTCTGAGCTTTGCTTGTTTCCTTGCCTATTTTTTGTGTGTGGATATAATACATGCGCTTCTGTGGCCCAGCATTCCGTGCTCTTCTTACACAACAGCCCCTTGACATTTGAGGGTTTCAGGAACCCCTTGCTGGGAATTCCTGAGCAGTCCCTCCAGCTGTGCCAGCATCTTTTCCTGGAAGCCAAAGACCTTTTCCTTGCAAGTCTCTCAGCGTTGATGAGAAATAAGCAACAATAAGGAAATAGTCATTTTTCTGTTTCTTTTTTTATCCTCCCAAAGTGTCTCAGTAGGTGGGACTCTCATTCTTTGGTTTTCTTTTCTTTTCAGGGTGTCATACAGTACAAAACTTTTTTTTTTAAAGACCGTCTTCACGAACATCTGCCATATTGAGCCA